ACCAGCCTGGCTCTACTTGCACTGCTGCGTCCATCATGACCACGGCAGAAGACACTTTGGCAGGTCTAGACACTACAGTGTCACCCCCCTGGGTCAGAGAGGGGGCTGCAAGTTTAATTTTCTGTGAATAAGGTGTGGTCCTCTCACTCCCAGCAAATACCAACTTGATCAGCTGGGCACAATTAGCAGCCCTGCGAGAACAGGCAGAGTACTTACTTGCACTGCTGCGTCCATCATGACCACGGCAGAAGACACTTTGGCAGGTCTAGACACTACAGTGTCACCCCCCTGGGTCAGAGAGGGGGCTGCAAGTTTAATTTTCTGTGAATAAGGTGTGGTCCTCTCACTCCCAGCAAATACCAACTTGATCAGCTGGGCACAATTAGCAGCCCTGCGAGAACAGGCAGAGTACTGCACTGGCGCTGGGGATATATTGACACAGCATCTGTGTAGGCATTTCTCTCTAGCCAAATATCATTTCTTAGCACTATTACCCAGGCCAGCAGGAGCTCCCTGGTTCCCCATCAGGGCTGCCAGCAACCCTGATTTTGAAAGGTTAGTGCCAGGTACAGAAAGCCAGGCCCCGGGGGCATTACAAACTGTACTCCAGCCTCAGAGCTCACGAAAGGGTCTGAACTGCAGGCAACAACATTTTATGTGGCCACTCTAAGTCCAGCAAACCAAAGACAAGTTCCATCTAATCCTGGGGGAGTAATGACCACCCCTGGGTTTCTAAAACAGACTGGCCACAAGAGGAGAGCACCAGCTGCCTTTACCATCAGGAAACAGCAGTGTTCATCTGCGATGGTCAAGTCTGTCTCATAACCAGAGCTTTGTAAAACTCTTCTTGCCCAGCAGGGACATTCTGAACAGCAAGCGACTAGTAAGAACATGAGAACTCCCAGACTGGGTTACACCGATGGTCCACCTAGCCCAGGATCCAGTCTCTGACAGTGGCCAGTACCAGAGCTTCAGGGGGAATGTGGGCAATTTAGAGAGCCACCCATCTTCCCTCTTGGTTTCTGGCAGTCAGAGATTTAGGGTCATCCCAAGCATGGGGTGACATCACTCATCATCTTGGTTAATAGCCACTGATGGACCAATTTTTCATGAACTTTAGTTCTTTTCAGAACCCAGTTATACTTTGGACCTTCCTGACATCCCATATCAATGAGTTCCTTAGGTTAGTTGTGGGTTGTGTGAAAAAGTATTTCCTCTCATTTCTATTACACCTGCTGCCTATTAGTTTCATGGTGT